TGCCTTAGCACTTGGCACCATAGGTGCCAAGGACTGACATAGAGCTGGTCATGCCCACCCTGGCCACACCTACCTTGGGCTCCCCAAGGTCAAGCCAACCCTGATGTGGTACTCAATAGAATCGAATGTCAATCCTGAAGCTGACCTGACCAAGGTAATTTTGAGGCTTTGATGTTGCCACATTGAAGTTGAGGGATAGAGAGAGGGGAATATAGTTTGGTTTGTAGTCAAAACAAAATACTTTCTCCTGGGAACCAAGGACATTCCCACAGTTGGCAGAGAGAAGAGATGTCACCAGGCAACCAGACAGAACCTTGATTGGACTATGTGACTAATAATTTGGGAACAGGAAGAAACTTTTACTTTTAATTAGGTGAAAACCACAGGAATGTTCCAAGTGAGTTTCCACCAGCCTGTGCCAATATATGTTCAATAAAACTATTCTTTGAGGAGCCTACATGACTCAAAAGTTGTTTGCTATGGGCATATTACTTGGAACCCTGACATCGAGTTTGACACGCTAGTGTAGGTCTCCTGCTTAGGCGGGTTATGGTGGTGTTGGACTAAATGATCTACAAGTTCCCTTCCAAGTGTTAATATAAACTGAGTTGCTTAAAGCTTTTGCCTCTACCAATCACCAATTCTTCATTTGCACCACTGCAGAAAACCAAAACAGTTGAAATGCAGAGTATATTTTATCTGTTAAAATTCATTAGTATTGCTTTGGGTATCAATTTAAGATAAGATCTGGTTGAAGTACTGTAAATTTAGAATAATTCTTGACCCTTTAACATAAGATTGTTAGAAGAATCAATTATTATCCTGTTAATAATATTGGTTTTATTTTGAATCAGTAATCAAAGCACTTCATACATCATTTCAGAAATAAAGGAAAATCCCTATAAAATAGGTTAACAAGATTATTTCTATTCTGCAAATAAGTCTCAGCTACTCTTTGGCACAAATGCAGGGAGAAAATAAGACACTCTTCGCTTCAGTATTTGGTAACACAAAAGCTTATTGTTTATTCCTTCCTCTGCAAGGAGTCCAAGATAATAGCTAAGCAAACAAAATAAAGTTGGATCTAACCCGAGTTTCCTGGGATTCGATATTTATAATAATTTCCCCTCGTTACCCTTCATTACCCCTGATTACCCTTATTACCCATGATTACCATTATTAATGATAATTATTCATATGAATTCAATCACATGAATTGTGGTTAATGCATAGAGCTTCACCTCACAACATTTTACATAGACCACGCATATTATTATGATACAGAGTTTATTCTGATGAAGAGGAATGAAGGTCAATGTGGCTTCGATTCAAATGCGTGTGTTGTGTAGTCACAACATGTGTCCCCCTCTACCAGGAACCAGTCTATAAAACAATATACATTATATCACTAATTATTTCTCTACTTGTGGTCCAGGTTTATCAGGATATTTGGTATGGAATTGCCTTATCAGTCTATTTGCACACACATCTGCTACTTTCGCCTCTGTTTCAGGATATCCTTTCCATCTCACTAAGTATTGTAACACTTTTCTACATATCCGCGAATCTAGAATTTTATCAATTTCAGCATGGGTTACATCTTTAGCTATTACAGATTCCTCAAGTTGAGGTATATCAATGTGTTCTCCAGGCTTCAGTAAACTAGCATGAAACACAGGATGTATTTGATGTAACTGTGGTGGCAATTCAAGTTTTACACTTACAGGGTTTATCACTTTCATAATTTGGAAAGGTCCAATACATTTTGGTCCCAATTTTCGACTATTTAGGTGTAATTTTATACATTAAGTTTATAGGTAAACATAGCCTCCAGGTTTGAATGCTTTATACTCTTTTCTTGTCTGCTTGTTGTTTATATTCTAGTGCTGTTTTATTGAGAGTCTCTTTTAGTTTATCCCAACTATCCTGAACATTTTTTGATCCACATTTGGACACTTATGGGTTGTTGTTCATCACATTGTAAATCAGGGATTGGCACGAATTCTATCCCATTTACTACCTGGAATGGGCTATATCCTGTGCTTTCATGTATAGATTATATGCTACTTCAGCAAATGGAAGTAAATCAGCCCATTCTCACTGTTGGTAAGATGTACATGATCTCAAATACCTTTCAATCATCGCATTAGCTCTTTCAACAGCACCATTGGTGCTGGGATGGTATGTAGAGCTAAGACCTTGAGAGCATCCTAAAAGGCGTACAAATGCTCTCCAAAATCATGCTGTGAATTGCATACCTCTATCCAAAATTATCCTCCTGGGTGTGCCATGTAGTCTATATACGTTTTATAAACAGGTTGGCTAATTTTGTTGCCGAAGGTAATCCTTTAGATGGTATAAAGTGAGCTTGTTTTGAAAACAAGTCTATAATAGTCCAGATTACTACATATCCATTACTGCTGGGCAATTCCACAATAAAGTCCATGGCTATATCTTGCCATGGCCAGTTTGGATCCAATACAGTTTGTAATAGTCCTAAAGGTTTTCCTACTCGAGGTTTTATAGTAGCACAAATGTGGCATTCTTTAATGTACTATTCAATGTCTGATCTCATATGTGGCCACCAAAACTGTTTTGGTTTTAAAAATCCAAAATGTCCAGCCTGCCTTATATCATGACGCTGGGATAGTATCTTTTTCCTACAATTTGATGTAACATATATTTTATCCCCTCTCCAATACAACCCATCTTTATCCAAACAGGCAGTATTATTTGTTTTTATCCAAACATCCATTTTTGTAGCCTCTTGTAATTCCTTTTTGGTTATCTCTTTTGTGGTCAACATCTGAATTTGTTTGGCTGACGATCCTACAGAAATCATGGGCTGAATAACTTCATCTCTAGACACATTGTATTGAGGTAGTCTAGATAGTGCATCTGCCATGAAGTTTTCACCTCCCGGGACCTATCTCAACTGGAAATCAAAACATTTAAAATACAAAGCCCATCTTACTTGTTTAGGGGATAGTTTTCTCAGTTTCTGTAATGCTTGTGAATTTTTATGATCTGTCCAAACTTTGAATTTTTCTTTCAACACTTCTAATAGGTGTCTCCATGTACTAAGTGCCCATTTTACAGCGAAAGCCTCCTTTTCCCAAATAGCCCACCTGCATTCTGTGGTTGTAAATTTCCGTGATGTATATGCACATGGCTGTAATTGTCCATCAATGTTATACTGTAAGAGGACAGCCCCCACAGCCACATCACTTGCATCAGCTTGTACTATAAAACTTTTAGTTGTATCAGGATGTTTTAAAATGGGCTCTTGAACAATAAAGCGTTCAGGTCACCTTTAAGTAATAATCATATAGTTAGAAATTGAGGTATTTTTATTCTGAGGTAAGCATATAATTAAGAACTCTAAAGAAATAGATTAATTGATATTTATATATAGATAAGAATTTAATTACTTTAATGAATTGGCTGCTTTAAATTAATTAAGCATATAAGACTGTTGATTTTGTGAGAGAATTGAATCCAAATAAAAAACAATATACCTTTTTTTTGAACCCACAGCACTCTTGGTCCAGAATAGATCAGATATGGATGGACCCTGGGTTAATGGAGAATATTGAAAGGATCGAGATGTTGCCAAATCTATGGACTGACCATAATCCCATTCAAATTAAATGGAAAGGAACGAGAAAAATTGGAAGATGGACATTTAACAATACCATATTAAGAGATAAAGAATATATTGAAATGATAAAGAAAGAATTGAATATATTTTTTGAAATAAACAAAAGAGAACATACCTCCCTACAGAATCTTTGGGATACAGCCTATGTGAGAGGTCTAACTATTGCTTACAATATTAAAAAGAATAAAGAAAAAAGACAGCAACAAAATATATGGAGGGAGAAGCTGAAAGATTTAGAAACAAGTAGACAAAAGGACCCAAACAATTCAAACATTAAGAAAGAAATAGATCTGGTAAAACATAAGATAAATCTAAATGTACAGGAAGATTTGGCCCGAAAAATTAAATTAGTAAAACAAAATTATTTTGAAAATGCAAATAAGCCAGGGAAGTGGTTAGCCCATAAAATTAAAAAAGAACAAGAAAAGAGAACGATCATAGCTCTCCAAGATCAGGAAGGGAAATTATGCACGCAGACCCAAGAAAAAAAAGAAATCGCTAAGGAGTTTTTTATGAAATTGTATAAACAGGAAGAAATACCAGAAGAATCTATTGATCAATATTTGAATGAAAAGAACTTGCCCGAAATTACTGATGAAGAGAAACAAAATTTGAATAATAAAGTATCTATAGAAGAAATTAGGAAGGCAATTGGAACACAAAAAGCAAATAAGACCCCTGGCCCAGATGGAATTCCTTCGGAATTCTATAAGGAATTCCAAGAAACAATAGAGGAGATATTGGTGGACTTGTACAATGAAGACCTGGAGAATGCTAACATGCCTAAATCATGGATGGAAGCATATATTACCCTTATTTAAGAAGAACATTCTGACCCACAAAAATTCAAAACTATAGACCAATATCACTTTTAAATGTAGATTACAAAATAATGGCTACAATATTGGCGGAAAGATTAAAGAGATTATTAAGTTGAATTATCCATACTGATCAGAATGGCTTCCTCCCCCATAGGCAAATAAAAACAAATACAAGAACCATTATGGATATATTAGAATACTATGAAGTATACTCAACCAAGACAATGGCATGAAGTCGGTGTAGCTTAGACTAGCACCGAATGTCAGCCACGATGAGGAACGGCAGGCGGGACTTCCTTCAGAGGTCCATTCCCCCTGTGGGCCGCACTAATATTATACTTTCATATCATGGTGGGAGCCACAGGATATCGTCCTGTGGGCCGCAATTGGACCGCGGGCCGCGAGAATGAGACCTCTGATATACATTGTCTATATATAGCGTTGAGTCCACAGAAATCAACAGAAAGCCGTAATCCACCATCTTTTTTCTCACAAAATAAAACAGGGGCAGCTCAAACATTTTCAGAAAAATTGCTTGAAAATAGAATTTCTGCATTAAACTGCTCTAACCGATCTATTAGCTCTCTCATAAATGTAAACTTTAAATTCATGAAGCAAACAGCACCTCAAGGCATCAGTTTATAGGCATTTTTTATTTACCTCAAGTATTTATGAAATGATGTAAGAGATGATTAATGATATACTTAACCTCAAAGATTTTGTGCATGAATATAAACAGAAAAATATAAAATTGTTTTAATACTCATCTAGCATCAACCGTATTTAGTATATGTGTGTATACATACACACACATACATGCGTGTGTAACATTATATTATATGAAAGCATGCAGTTGAAGATCATAAATGCAACTGGAGTTTGTTCATGCATACATAAGGGTATTAGGATACAAATTATTCCATATGAATAGTAGGAGATAACTAACTAGTAAAGTGGATATTAGATAATTTCTTAATATAATACCATAACTGAAATTAGTATTAAAATAATGTTTTCCACAAATAACATATAGAAAATAAACAATGTATTGGCATTTTAAAAGACATTTAAGTTATTTCAGTCCTTACTACCATTATTACGCAACTATAAATATGCAATCTAAATGTTTAATATTTATTGCTGAACACAAGTGGTACAGTGGTCAAGTTGTTGACATAAAAACCATCTAGTTTTTGTTCAGACATAGAAGTTAGGGTGGGTAACTTTGGGCCACTCTCTCCTACCCGCTTTGCATAATTGTTGTGTAGATTATGTAGGCAGGAATATTATATATTCCCTCAACATGTTACTTGTTGCTGGATAAAAATATGATAGTAAATAAACTGTCTCTGAAATAAAAAAGATATTACCTAAGATCCTGTCAGCCTTCCCAGGTAAATCAGACAGGAAAAATGGTGATATGATCCAATTCTACTTTAGTGTAAAGCTACATTAACAGAATGTTGCAATTCTGAAAGTACAAATATACCACTCAGACACCCTTCTGTGTCTCTTTCTCTGAACATAACACAGCTGTTGGATATGCAGCCTCTTACCATTCCCTAGGCAGCATTTTTTCATCCTATGTCCTGATGTCTTTCTTACATACCAATACAGAGATAAGTTAGCTACTCACAATATTTGACAATGCAAAGTGCTGGCTGTATTACTTACAGATGATGCATTCATATGCTATGTCAAGTCCACAACCATGATCAGCAAAACCTAACAGTTGGGCTAATGCAACTTGTGGGCCAAACTCAAATAAACTTAGTGTAGTGGAATCTGTAAACCTTGTTTACAGTTGCTTGAATTAGTCTTTTATTTTCAGCTCAGAGATTTACAGTCTGCTCATGAAATGTGGAAACCCCTAGTAGTGGCATACTTCTATTTTCCCGAAGTGGCAGAATTTCTTTTGGAAATGATGGACTTGTGATAATCCTATCCTGTAGTTATTAGGCTACAGTAACTTGTTTCATAAGTATAATTTGTAATACTTTGTTTTATTTTGCCCATACATTTGATTTTACTATTGTATTTCACGAAATACAATTCAGTCTTCCCCAATTTCTAAAATTCTCAGCAGTGTTTAGACATTATGGAAGCTGAAATCCAGGACATCTGATGGAAAACATTTTGGGAAAGCTGATCTATCTCCATTATCTGTTAAGATGAAATCAACCGTAGGGGTTACATAAAGCAAAAGAGAGATTGTAACAACTTATTTTTGCACATGGACTTTTCCTGTTTTTCCTATATACACAAACGGCAAAACTATGAGCATACAACTGCACAGTATTTCTCTAAAATAACAGCCATACAACATTTTAATAAATATTTCTGATAGATTCCTTAATTTAGAGTTCAATTAAAACATTTTTCAGTTTATCAGTTCATTCTCATATATATTAGAAATATTTACTTTTCACTTATATCTTCTTAGAAATATTTTATTTAGCCTATTTCATAACCCTCCTTTCTGCTCAAGGCACTTGAGGCAATGTGCAACTGAATTTTCTGTATTCATTATAAATATTTTATATTTAAAATGTGCATATTTCATGCTAAATGTTATTAGTGACAAACCCTAGTTTTTAATTGTTAAAAAATCTGTACTTTGAAACATGAATAATTAAAAATATTTTTTCATGCTACTAGAAGTTGACCAACAAATGCAGGATTTCGTTCTCTTATTAATACAGTAATAAGTGCAGCAGCTGAATCCATGGTCTCTTGAAGCTTTACAATCTCCTGAAAGAAAAAGAAAAGTTATTCAGGAATGAGATACATTTCTAGAGTTTAAATAATAGAAATTCCTACACAACAGCAATGTTTGAAATCCAAATTCTGTTCTCAACCTGATTACATTTTTTTCTAATTATTCTAACTAAATTTTCTCATTTATAGAGAATAAGCTTATATACAATAAATAATCAGATATATCTGAATAGGAAGCATACAATAAATAATTTGTTCTTGACACGTTAAATATTTCACAGAATCATCCACCAGCTGCTATTTCTGCAGTTATTGCTGACATGTTACATTCAAGCTTGTAGATATGAAATATTTACCAAAACTTAAACAAGGAAGGAAGGATCTAGTAATTACAATCTCTCTTTCTATGTTCAATAATTGGATGTTATTGAACTGTACACCAATTATTGTTATTAATATTAATCAAACTATTAATACAGTTCAGGAATGTTTAATTAAACATACAGTTCAGGGATTCATTAAACATTCCTGAACTGTATTAATAGTTATTATTTAAATACTGTTGGCTTTCTGACTTTCTCCCTGATTTTTCCATGGCTTCCCATAAATTGGGAAGCCAGCAGAAATTTGAGAAGGGAGGGAGAGAGGGAAGGCAGGAAGGAAGAGAGGGAGGGAGGAAAGGAGGGAGGGAGGAGGCTTTCTGGCAGCTTCCCACAAGGAATATCAATGGGAAATAGCAGATAGCTATTTTGTTTGCCCAACTTGGTCATTTTATTTCTCTGTTTAGGTAATTAAACATCTCTGAAATGATGACCCAATGGCCCATGGGTTATTTAGTGATATATAGGAACTAAATATTGTTTTAAAGTCATACCATTTTCACAATCCATTGTTATATTTAGATCTCACTGGGAAATATACTGGTGGTTTTCTATTAAAATGTGGCAAAATATATTCAAATACATCTAATATTTCTCATGTACATGCCCACAATAATTATCTCCAAGCTAAATATATTTAAACTTCACAATTTAAATATAAACTTCTGTTATCACAGAACATTCATTCATCTGTCTTTAAGAACAATATCAATTCTAAGTAGAAAAATACATTGATTAAATGAAGTCATCTTACTACAATTACTAATCCATCCAACTAAATTACGGATATGTTAGTTGGTTCAGATTAATTTTCAAAAACAGAACAGCAGGATTTGTTTTGTTAAATCACAAAATAATAATTATAATTATGGAATCTTTAAGTTTGTATTATATTTATGAAATCTAGCTATTGCTCTTTGTAGATTTGAGGAAACCAAAGAAGAAATATCAAATAAATTTACAACTTTAACCAGAGTGATTTTAGTGGTTGAATATGGCATCTGAAGTTTATATTAATACATTTTAAAATTCAGTAGGAAGACAAAATTTATTTGGATTTAATTTAACAATAATTAAAATAGAGCTACAGGAATCTCTGGAACTTAAATTATACTACTAACTTAAGTTACATTTATTTCAAAAGATTCATTCTAATTATGATTAAACTAATTTAATTTTTTAATAAATATCCAGATAAAAATATTTATGATATAAGCAATATTTAAAGTTATAAGCAATCCAAGTAGTAAATTGCTATAGATGAAAAATTATGCTCATATCCCCGAAAGTAAAACTTATTAAATCAAGGTAACCTATATGATTGCACGAAAATGCAATTTATTTCTATCTGCATCGGATACTGAAATATATGGAACAATGTAAGCAGTACATTTCTATGCCATAGGCTATAATCCTCTACTTGCTTGGTAAAAAATGTGCATGGAAGTATTATTTCAAGAAGAATCTTTGTACAATTTAAAGATTGAAATACTAAATAACTGTTAATATTTTTCAAATAAATAAATAAATTGTTGAATTAAGCCTGTATAGGACAACAGCCCACATATTATCAGACCCTAGCCTCCTTTTTTACAGTTCCTGTAATATCTGGTGAAATTCAATGCAAGAATCTCAAATTTCAAAAGCACTATTTTTCATGGATTTTTGAAAAAAATTACTACTGAAGCCTTTCATTGGAACCTTGAGGATGAACTATTACACTTAGTATATTCTACAAAAGTGATTTCACCGGTTATAATCCTTAAAAACCATACAAGATTTTTCCCTGAACACTTAAAGAGAACAAATATATATTTTCTGAACAATATTAATAATTCTAAAAAACAACAAACAAATAAATCATCTCTTTTTAAAACCTACTAGTGCTATCCCAAGGAGACTTTTAGTCACACTATGCAATATATAAAGTTTAGACAGCAGTGTTGCATATAGGGTGATAGAAGTAGGTTAACATCTTTCTTTGCTTTTTGACAGAATTTTTGTAATATTTTTTTCTTTATATTATTTTTTATTTTTCATTAGATTACAGCTTGAACTTCAAGCTTCAATAGACATATCAGAACAACCTGATTTAAGAAAAATTAGGAATGCAAAAGCATGAAGCATGTATGAATGTTTATGGGAGGAACCATTAATAGAAGAGTTAGAAATAGAAAATAATTTTTGCTTTTAATATTATGTACTGAGAAATCTTCTTTACATTTATACTACTATTCAGCATTGCCAAAATCTTAAAAGAATATTGGTTTCAATGAATACATAAAGTGAAATTACACAAAACAAACTAAAAAAACCCATTAAACCAAAGCCAAGAAAGGCTTTAATGACAAGATACTTTTTATTGAACAGAGATATTTCTGCCAAATAAACATGCCCTCTGTCTGAATTAAATAATGGGATGCTTATGGAGTTTTTTTCAAAATTGCCAATCATTCAATTCTTTAGCAGAGATTTATTCCTAAACAAAACAGCTATTCAGCTATAACTTCCTGTTTCTCTATGCTGTTCTTCCAACTGCAAATATAACAAAAATATAAAAAAACCAAAATTCTGTTGCTTTATCCATTAATTTCTTTGCTCTGCTCATGATTAACTATTTTAATTGTGATGAAAAAATTAATAAAGAATTTTCAAAATTGCTTTGTGCAGGAGTGTTGGTTTATATTAAGATTTCACCATTAAAATTAACCAAGTTTCAAGATTTAGCTAAAAAGAATAACTTGTCTTACAAATTAAAACAGAAAACTGATATACAGTTCCATAATTTTTCTTCTGCCAAATATAAGTTCTGTTAAAAAGTAATGCCAGGAGAATTTCATAAAAATATATAAATGTTGTTAATATATCACAGAATTATAAATGGCTTCTCACACCATTTCCACTGCATATTTGCTGTTACCAGAATCTTAAGATGGCTTTTAAAGATTTTTAACTGGGAATTCTGAATAACAGAATAAGAGTTAGAAGAGACCTTGCAGTCTTCTAGTCCTACACCGTCTAGCAGAATACCTGCACCATTTCAGACAAATGGCTGTCCAGTCTCTTCTAGTTGTTCTTGATATATTTGGCAGGCACCAAATGCATCATATATTTGGGAAAGATGGCCATAACACATATAATACATATTCTTCTTTTCACAGAATATTATATCAGCTTTAATTTGCATTGCATATTACATCATTGCATCTGCTTCTATCTATATATTGATATGTATATATTAATAGACATATTCTATTTGGGATAAAGGAAATAAAGACTCTTTTTGTACATAGGCATAAGCAGTCATAAAAATAGAGATAACAGGTGCAGCCATAGTCTTGCCCACTGAGGAAATTAATGGAATTCATTGGGATTTATTTATTGGGAAGGTTGCTCAGAATTTATATGAACTTCAAACTTCTAGAGGGAATTTGTCATTTCTGGAAAAGCAGTATATATATTTAAATATATTTTACTATATTCTTGTTCACTGAAAAATGCTTTGAACATCTGCATTGTCAGGATGCATGCATGAGCAGGTAAATGAATGTCTTATGTCAATATAAAGTGTTAGAACTTGGGCAATAAATTTATAATTATGAATTAGGATAAAATGAAGATCTATTACCTGTTACTGTAATTATATTAATAAAATAACTGTTGACTGATGAAGACATGTGAAATTTATGCTTGAGGGTTTATAAAGGAAAACTTACTGACGGTCAAAATATTTGAGCAATTGCATTTTGGTTGAGATTTTTACCAGAAAGATAGTAATTTTTTCCAAATTCCACTTATATAACTTGTTACTTTTGTGCATGACTCAGTAATGCACTGTCATCTGACTTATTGACTTACTTGCTCACAATTATATTTTATGAAAGCTAGCTTCAATGCAGGTAAACCATTTTTTTTATTAAGTTAAATCAAAGTAATTACTGTGATACTTTATTTTTCTATAACTACAAATCACAGACAGACCTATAAACTATATAGGTTTATTTTTCAAAAGATTGATGGTTTCTGACATACCACACCAATCACATCTATTCTACATGTACGCTATACTTGTAAAAATTTGATTAACAAAAGGATTCTTGTTTTTGAATGATTCCAGGCTGTTTTATGCTTAGAGTAATCCTCCTTCTAATTGCAACAAGGGATAATAAGTTTGTATATCACAGGTTTGGTTGTGAGATGGCACCAGATCGGATTTTTTCTTATGAAAACTATACAAAATAAAACATTTAATACCCTCAAAATTGTTGGAACTCTATTTTCTTATTAAACTTATATACAGCGTTCTAACTTATTTACTATATATTATTCTATAGTGTGTGTGTGTGTGTGTGTGTGTGTGTGTGTGTGGTATTCAGCTTTGTTCGGATATTTTCCCATATCATTATAGTTGTGCTTTTAAAGTTGTAGCAACGTTTCGGCAGAATCTCATCTGCCATCATCAGGCTTCTGTATTGTGTTCGTCTGTGAGTCAGACTTTCACAACCATTTCTGTTTTAAATTTGGGGCTAGCCTATTGCTGTGCCAGAATGGTTTTTTCTTCATCCTGATTGGCTGGGAGTCTTGGTCTGTGTTTATTGGTCTTGGAGTTTGCTGTGTTCTGCTTGATTGGTGTTTCTAATATCTTCTGTCTGT